CCACTCATGTCGCACTTACTAGTGCTACGCTAAACGCCACTACCGCTGGCCAAAGGTTGGTACCCTTTAATTTTTTATTAATCTTGTAGATGATGGGTCCCCTCCGGCCTCCCCAAGTTATCGTATTTTGGATCTTGCCATTCCCCGCGGGATCCAATCTCGTTTGTCCAATGTTGAGTTGATGTCTCTGGATGAATAGTTGGGTGAGGGGATAAAAATGATTATCCTGAGCGCCACGGATACCATGACTGAGCCTCCGGGCCCTCTCTTGGTGGCAGTCCATTTCCATTCTATTCAAACAGGTTTCCAATTTCCTTTACACCCTCTACTAGCCGAATTCCCTCGCGTCTATAACGCTATTCCATGCCAGCTAACGCCCAATGTGCACAGACTTCTTACTTGCTTTCTTACGAGATGTCGCGAGGGTAGCGTACCGCCCTCTTTGTCTCTCTTCCTGCAGATGTATCGTGTGTATCGCACTGGCTGCCAAACCGCCTTGCTAAATGGAGAAGATTCACTGGTCAATGCACTACCAAATCCTACTTTGGATGGTAGTTGGTCTTCCCTGATGATGGATGCGGACATGGATTTACCTACTTTGGTCGCTACTTGAGCAGCTTCTGTGGGGATACAGGAGTCGTCGTCGCCTCGCCCCCCTTCGCAACATGAAGAGTACGAGCCACATGGTCCCTTGGCCGTGCGGGGGTTTGGCGATGTTGCTGCTCAGGCTCTGCGACCATACGAGCCCAGCCACATCGAATTCATCCGGCGAAGTGTGCATGACATAGTGACTCCCTCCAAACGGTTTTGGATGGATAGTAGCTCCATGGATGCACTCAGCTCCCACCTAGTGGGAGATAGCATTAATGTAATTTTTTTTCTTTCTTTTTTTTTTGAAACCTCCGCCGCGAGGACCCTCCATCCGTACCCGGCTTTATTGCCCGTGTTGCTTGGTCCTGACCCCATTTTTTTTAGGTGACTATGCATGCTATTGGGTTGCAGCAGCGGTTTAGATGCGGCCACAAGGGAGTATACCGAGTCCGAACGGGCACGGGAGATGTTGGTAGCCGATTTAGCACGATCGGAATCACACGCAATTGCGCGCGGCGCATGATACATTGGTGGCTGAGCATGGTCGGTTGGAGAAAGAATTACAGGCTTTGCAAGAGTGACTCATAGAACTGGAAGCCCTTCACGCTTCTGTCGTGCAGGCAGCCATTCGAGATTGGCGAGGTTTTGACAATTTTGAGCAAGTGGCGGATGAGCATGCTATGTCATGTATGCCTACTCTGCTGCAGGATTGGTTGGCGTGCCCTCATATGTCAAGTCAGCCAATGATGGACGCCATGGCTAACTGGCGGGAGGCTCAAGATCCTCGTCAGTTTACATGTCCTCCTTTCGTGTAGATCTTTCAATACTGGGTGACCACGCAAGGTGGTCGGGTTGCTATGGCTCCTCTCGCAGAGGTTTAGTTGCGAGAGACGTTAGAGGATCAGAGCCGGATAGTTCGCGAAGGTGAGGCTTCCTTTTACATGGGACATCGACAAATGCAAGAGGTCTTCTACAGCAACCACCTCAACCGATGATCCCTACTACGCCATCCCCGCCTGATAGTGCTTTCCTGATCACTCCAAAGAGATCGGGATATGGAATCAGTTCGTCCCTCGCGGCGCCATATGACCCCACTCCCAATACCTGATCACCTCCATTATTCACCACCCCCACTTGGGCCAAGACTTTTCTTATAAAATGGGCCCTAACCCTGGGTATCATGGCCCCATCTCAAGTCCCCCACTTTCATTAGTTGTTTCTGACGAGTAAAGAAAGTATATATGCTCTTGACCTTCAACGCACCTCGACCCTTCCAACTCCCGACCTGGAAGCTCTCCTTTCCCCTACAAGAGAAAGATAGAGCTACTCGCCACCTTCCCTTCGTGCGGGCTTATTGGGACGCCATGCCGCGAAGGGTATCTTAGCGGCCCACTGAAGAGCGGCATATATTGAACGTTGAGTCGCATAATTTAGACTCGTAGATTGCGGTGAAATGGGATAGGATGCATCAACCGCATTGACCGCTGAGAAGCGGGGGAATAATAAGTCGACCGCTGAAAAGCACGACAGTGCATGTCGACCGCAAAGAAGCGGGGGAGTAATAAGTTGGCCGCTACAGGCCCAAATAGAAATGTGTACGCCCTCGGCTTTGAGATCGCATCCTATTAACCTGGGTGTACCTGTAGGTGGGCTGCATGCTACCTCATCTAGCACCACACACTTTTTTTTTTTAAACGGAGCACGCTGGGCTGCGTACCATACCCTGCAGGCCTAGGTAGATGTGTGTATACCCCTCGTCTTGGGGTTCGCGTCCCCTTCAACGATGGTATACTAGTGTGGGGGCTGCCTGCTGCCTCATGCGAGCGCCACACACCGTGTGATTCCCTTTTTTTTCTTCTTCTTTTTGTTTAGGGAACGGCGCACGCTGTGCGGCGTACCATACCCTGCAAGCCCAGGTGGATGTGTGTATACCCCTCGTCTTGGGGATCGCGTCCCCTTCAACGATGGTATACTAGTGTGGGGGCTTCCTGCTGCCTCATGCTAGCCCACACACCGTGTGATTTTTTTTTTTTTTTTTTCGGGAGTGTACGCTGGGTTACAATCCTTGTAAGGCCAGGTGAAGATGTGCATGTTGGAGCGGAGCTCGCGTTCATGCGGGTAGATAATAAAGATTCATCATCGTGTTAGGATCAACATAACTTTATTATGCTTAATAACGAGGATGAAAAAAAAAAAAAAAAAACCAAAAAGAGAAGAAAATGTGAAAGCGTACCAAATCTAGGAAAGGAACTTATGTATTCCACACCCCTCCAGGATGTGGCTTCCGCCACCCCGCGCGTTCCTGGTGGAAGTCTACTTCCAGATCTGTTCATCTGGGTGCTCGCTGGGACTTGAGTGCGTGATAGAATGAAAGAGGATGGATAAAGCTAGGGACGCACGCTTTTTGTAACTGTAACACCCCCGATTTCCAGGCCATTTTAAACTTAATTATGCAAGATGATCTAACCACAATATAAGCAAAACACAGCGGAAGTCTAACTATATAAAACTGGAAAGCGAAGAGTGTTATGCCACGTCCATACAAAATGAACGCACAGGCAACATGACAAAGCTAACAAAGTCTGAGGGAACTACACTATCCATCACTAGATCGCGCTCGCCACTACTCGGGACCTGAAAAGCACATAGATACATGGGACGACGCCCGGTCAACGAATAAAGCTGGTAACCCACCAATACATGTTAAGTATCATACATAGATAGTATATACAAAATCATTTTTGAAACGGAATACTGTATATATAAGTTCAAAACCAAAGATAGAAGTCAACCACAAGACTCTATATAACTCACAACGAGATTAAGGGAACACATCCCAAGACATCAAGAAGTAACAACGACAACACAAGTAAGGCTCAAGGTACACCATAAACCGGGAATAAGAAATATAGAACGGAATAAAAGGACTATTATTGCTAGTGCGACGGGAGGCCCACGTAAACGCGCACAAGCCCAATGTCGCGGGCCTAGAAACAATAGTACAGGAAAGTTATACGGTGAAAAGGGAAATAAACAAATAGACAGAAACCCGATGCATAATACCATAATCGATCCTTTGACCAATTAGGAGAGAGAGAAGACTCAGACCGCCAGGCTCCCAGGTCCTTAATGTTTCTTGCCCTGTCCTAAACTGATCGCAGCCCCCCCCCCCCCCCTCCCCTTATATATCCTCTCAGGACTTCCGCATACCACCCACATGTACGACATCTACAGGCCTCCAACTCCCACCATACACGTGTCCTCCCCTCTCCGCACGTTCCCCCAACGGCTCGAACGAGTCTATTGATCTCTGCTCCTATACGCACCGCCCTCATCAGCTGCCCTTCTGTGCGCAGCATGGATGCACTAGCCGCCATTCCACCCACATACATGCTTGTACGTAGCCGCCACCCCGCGCACGCATGCATGCAATAGCCGCCATTCTACCTGCATTCATGCATGTACGTAGTCTCCAACAGCGTGCATGCAACCGCCACCTGTTCGCGCAGCCGCCACCTTATACGCATGCAACCGCCACCCGTGCGCGCAACCACCACCTTATACGCATGCAACCGTCATCCGTATGCGCAGCCACCACCTTGTACGCATGCAACCGCCACCCGTGCGCGCAGCCGCCACCTTGTACGCATGCCACTGTCATCCGTGCACACAGCCACCACCTTATACGCAGGCAACCGTCATCCGTACGCGCAGGCGCTACCTTGTACGCAGCCACCACCTTGTATGCATGCAACCGTCATCCGTACGCACAGCCGCTACCTTGTACGCATGCAACTACCTCGCATACACGCGTGCATGCATGTTTACGAGGTCCAAGCGTACGTATAGGCATGCATGCGAGCAGGGGCGGAGCCAGGATTTGTTGGTGCGGGGGGCCGATCACAATTTGAGAGATAATAATAAAATACATTAATATTCATTTCACATATTCCAAAATACATCATTATATTACAAATCTACTAAAATTTAGAACGTCTCTCTTGCATGTCACGAAAATCATCTATAATTGAATCTATACTAAATTGTTTTGCAATTTGTTTTTCAATATATACTAACAAACAATCATTAAGAAAGTCATCTTCCATCTTGTTATGGAGTGTAGTCTTTACTATATTCATGGCAGAAAAAGATCGTTCTGTAGTAGTTGTAGATACTGGAAGTGTGAGAATGAGAGTTACTACTCTGAACACAAGAGGATAGATGTTCGATTTTCTAGTTTTCACCAACCATTGGCATAGATCAGAAATACTTTCTAGTGTTATGAAATCAGGAAGTTGTTGCACATGTTCAAAATGTTCAAGTTGCGTTCTTAGTTGTAAAATCTCATAATCTTCAAAGTCTTGAGGGTAAAACTTCTCCACCAACTTGCAAATGTCATCAATTCTGAATTATATACGCATCTCTTTTGGATCTAACGATGAACTGAGAATAATTAACTCCATTGCTTTATCATCAAACCTATTGCTCAACTCTTGCAACTGAGAATCAATCACGGCATTAAAAATATCAAATTTGTAATGATGCCCAATTGTTAATTCATCTTGTTGATACCTAGCCCTTCCCCTTCTTGCAATATATTGAGCATCAAAATCCGGCACAGTTATGTTGACAGTTTCACAAAAAGACTTCACACTTGCAACTAATTCATCCCATCCACTATCTCTTAAATTTTGAATAAGCAATTTAGTAGATGACACAAGATCCATTGCATTCAATATTTCTTGAGATTGAAGTTGTAAAGCTTGGCAAAGCATATTTGAAATCTCCAAAATTTTTCTCATGAGATGCATAATGAATACAAACTCAAAAGAAGTGAGTACCTCATAAGCTGCATCGGCATCTCCACGGTGAGCATGTGTAGTTCCATATTCAACAATATTAAGTAAAACTTCACATGTTGCACTATACATTCTCATCAAACTTGAAATAGACTTCAAATGAGAACTCCAATGAGTATCACCCGACCTTTGTAAAGAACCAATTTGATTAAGACCTCTCCCACTTTCAAGCTCATCAATACTAAGCAAATGAGCAATATTTGAGGCATGAGCAACTTTCAACTGGTCATTGCGCTTACATGATGCCCCAACAACATTAATAATAGAGTTCAACTTGGTGAAAAATTGATGGACAGGGATGACTTCCTTTGATGAAGCTACTAATGCCAATTGCAATCGATGTGCAAAACAATGAACATAATAAGCATAAGGACATTCATCCAAGATTAAAGCTTTCAATCCATTCCATTCTCCACGCATGTTACTTGCACCATCATAACCTTGTCCCCGAATATTCTGAACATCAAGATTATGATGAGATAAGATAGAAAAGATAGATTCTTTCAATGTTGATGCAATAGTGTCCTTAACATGAACAACTCCAAAGAAACGTTCTTGTATAAAGCCATCTTTATTAACAAATCTCAAGACAATTGACATTTGTTCCTTCTTTGATTCATCTCGAGCTTCATCAACAATGATACAAAATTTTGCATCACCAATTTCTTCTCGGATATCACTTTTTACTTTAGTTGCCAACACTTGCAAAATTTGTTTTTGTATTGTTGGTGATGTATATGATGCATTTCGTGGGGCCTTATTAAGAACTTTTGTTACTTCATCATTAAAAGAGGCAATTAAACTCAATACCTCTAAAAAGTTTCCACGGTTCATTGATGTTATTGACTCATCATGACCTCTAAAAGAACATCCTTGAAATGCAAGCCATCTCGTTGCCTCAATTGAAGTTCTCAAGCGAAGTCTATTCTCTACTATTTCTTGAGAAGTGAATTTCTCAATATGTTGTGCAATGTGATTGTTGGTTCATGAGATCCGCACAAGCTTTCTCGGCATTTCGGTGAGGGGGGGGGGGGGGGTGAGATCTTTCCCAATATGTGCTAAAAATGAGCAATTTTTCCCATCTCTAACTTTCTTCTATGATCTAAACCCATTGATAGTAAAAGCATCCAATCCAGAAGGCCCATCTTGAGTATGAAACATTGAAACAAATAACATGGTAGACAAAATGCTGCATCTTTACTAGGAGAATATTCTAACAAGAAGGGAATAACTTAAACCAAGATGCTTGAAAACTACGAGGATGATTTTCTCCCGATTTTGGATACTTTGAAAGCAAACATTGATATGGGCCGACCTTGATATAAGCTCTCCTAACTTCATCACGCTTCTCAATGGGACACTTCCATATTGGTAGTCGCAATCCCGGATCACGTTCTAATGCTTGAATATCAAACTTCTCATTGATTTCAACTCTTTGAGCTTTTTCAGGACGACTTTCAGAATTCAATGGTTCAATACTTGAAAATGGATTTACTTGAGATGTTGAATTTTCAGAATTTTTTCTTTTAAAGAAAAGATCAATTCTTGGTGTCTTTTTCATTTCAACTTAATCTTCTCATGTTCTCACTGTTAATTTTTTTGACAAATCAATTAAATTAACTAAAACCAAATGAAAAAAATAATAAATAGAGAAATATTAAAGTAATAGATATTTAAAGATTTTGGTAACAAAATGACCTAATTTCAAACTCATCAAATGCCCATTTAGCTATTTTATTATGATTTATGCACTAGTATTCAAATTCTAGCAAATCCTATTAAACTTTTAAAAGTATAACATACACTAACCAAATGAGAAGTGGAGAATGTCGACACTCGTAAGCGGTAGCCCGAGTTCACCGTGGTTGCCGTCGTGAGTCGTCAACTGAAGAAACGAAAGAGAGGATTTAACTATTTTGCCATTTACCCCGAGTTTATCGCGGTTGTTGTAACTTGTGAGGATGATGAATCCATTTTCAATAAAGATTAATTCATAAAACAAATTCAAAATTTTAAAGAATAAAAAGGAAATAGAAAATTATCCATATACTTGCAAGTAAAAAATTGAAGAGAATTTGTTGTTTGGAATATCTGCCGCTGTGCCGCATCTGTGTACTGTGGTTGAATTTTTGATTTGTAAATTTAGAATTCGGATGGTTTGAGAATTTGGATGGTTTGCTTACTCAGGGAGAATTCTTTTAGGTGGGAAAATGTTTGGTGGGCCACGTGACAATGACACTTGCTTGTCTTGCTTATAGCTATTATAATACTTAGTTCTAAGTACTAACTAACAAAAAAATAAAAAGGGGGGGGGGAGGGGAGGGGGGGTACGCCGCCACTGTCCATGATGTGCAGATGTGCTGCCTTATACTAACATACATTTTTTTTCTCTGGGGGTGGGGTGGGGGGGGGCAAGGCCCCCTCTTATTATCAGGTGGCTCCGCCCCTGCATACGAGCCCATGCGTGTGAGCCCCCCTCCTCATCCCTTTGGGCTCACACTCTCTAATCTACATGGGCCAAGCCCATTACATTATTCTCCATCAAGTATGTGTGTGTGTGTGTGTGTATATATACACACACACACACACACACACACACACACACACACACACACACATATATATATATATATATATATATATATATATATATATATTGGTAAGTTATATACCCCGGGTCCGTGTATAGTCGGGTCGGGTCGAGCGGTTCGGGTCTTGACCTACGGGATGGGGTCAAAGGTGACGGGTCAAACCCGAGATGGGTCAAACCCGCCACCTCGGTGGCCCTATAAAAGGGCTTCTAGCCCTCTAAGGAAAGGGAGAGGCCAATTCTAGGCTATCTCTCGGCCCTCTCTCTCTAAGCTCTTTCTCTCTTCCCTCTCTCTATATTTTACGCAGAACAGCAGATGAATAAAAAGGGAATTTGAGCTATTTTCTTGTGTTCTTCCTCTTGTTCATACATATATTTTATGTATTTAGTACATACAACCGACATCCGGGAGAATTAGTACCATCAAATGGCGCCGTCTGTGGGGACCGTGGCAAAAGGCTACGTTCTTATCATCAAGCTAAGCAAAGAGCAAAAGCTACAGAAATTCTGAAAATTGAGAGGAAATCTGGAATTTGCAAGCAATCACCAAATTCTGGAAATGGAGGTGGTTTAAACCCAGGCACTCAAATTACCAAACGGGCGCCCCGACCACTCCACCACTCAGTTTCGTTGTCTACCTTCTCCGTTCTTTACCATGTGTTCTGATTTAGATGTTTGCAGATCCAACTTTCATCAAGTCTGCCAGCGAGCGCCAGCTTGTTTCATCATCTTTTTTTTGCTAAGCTGCCTCCATAGAAGAACCGCTGGTGTCACCCGCATGCAACCACCGGATCTCCTCCACCTCTTCCGGCGAGACAGCTACGACTATGCTTCGTTGATTCCGTCAAGCTTCGTCCACATGCAGATTGAGGAATCTACTCCAGATTAGTCTTTCTGTTCTCCTTTACAAATTTGCTGGCAGATCATTCTTGTTGTTTTCTTGTACAGGTTATGCATGCAATCATCAGCGTAGTCACTGCAGATGTAAAGTTCCGTTTTGAACTCCAAAACATCACCATCACCCCGGTGATTCAAGGAACGCCCAGAGTGGAGTTCTATTTTTTTTTTTTTTAATAAAAAAAAAAAGGGGGTGTATATACATATCCTGTCGTTATTTTTGGTTTCAGAGAAAATGGCGAGCAACCGCCTCCGTCTCGGCCTCCCCCTTTCTACCACGGTCGACGACGACCTTTTCTCTCTCCCTCGGCAACGTCCAGCAGCCGAGAAAAGGAATCTCCCCTTGGTTTAGCATGCGGTTTTCACCTTTCCGGCGACCACTCTCTTTTCAGATGGCCGGCGACTCTCATCAATCGAGTTTCATCATTTTCAGGAAAATAGTTTAAGCCTTTAAAGTATGAACCCATGTCTGTACTATGATGTACAAAAGCTAGCAGAAAACCTCATCGAGTCGGAGAAGATGGACGCTACGGTGGTCGAGCAGGCAGAGATCGGGAGAAGCTAGCCATTCATCCCTTGCATGTACTTTCAAGCTTCAATGGCTTGTATTTGGTGGGTGTGGGTGGTGTTGCTGTACGGAGGAGAAGAAAACGGAGAAGAGGAGACATCAATGCTAAAGCTTCGTTCGTAAGTGGTGGTTTCCGTTGCCGGCGTTTTCACCATGCATCACCGCCACTCGCCGTTGCCGCTCCACCACCCTCGTAGCCGTGAAGCGTCTCCTTAGCTCAAAATATAGAAGTCAATGAGCTGCATGTTGTTTGATTGGGATGAGAGGCGGTGGAGTGTGACATCCCAGATGGTGGAGTATGCATGTAATCCTATTGGCGCTGCGCGGCGGTGGCGTGAGAAAAGTCTCAAGGCTGATTTTAATTTTGATTTTAATTTGTAATTTGCTGAGTTTGTAAAGTTCAGGCACATAAATTAAAGTGGGCCGTAGCATATTTAGCTTGTAAGTGGTATAGGCCCAGCTACAAATTGTATTAAGTTATGGGCTTGTACCTAGAAAAATTTGTAATAGTTAGAATTTATTTGTAATAAGTCCGGTTAGGTTGGAATTTCCACCACCGGCACCCCAAGCCCGGTTAGGTTGGTATTCCCACCACCGGCACTTAGAGCCCGGTCAGGTTGGCCTAGCCACCATCGGCATTGTTAAGCCCGGAAAAATCCCGGCACCAAGTCCTACCACGTAGGCAATTTTGGGTCTCCGGACCAATCGGACAAGGCTCCAGCAGCGACCGCAATGTCGTTAAACTATTTTCCGGTTAAAGCCGGCACCTTTTTCCGGTTAAAGCCGGCGAGGGCAATAGCCCAACAGCGAGACCACGCCCTGAGTTCGCCCGGCCGTTAATTCCACTGCCACACGCCCTTATATTTAAGTGCATCCGACAGTGGGGGGCTGGACAGGGTGGGCGGCGGTCGTTTGCGGAGCGGCCGGGTCAAATCGTCTGCTCGGATAACATACTGGTATGTGGGTCGCCTGAGGCCGTATGCCCGGTCGGCTTACTGGTATGTGGGTCGCCTGAGGCCATGTGCCCGGTCGGCTTAGAGCGGCCAGTTCAAATCGTCTGCTCAGGTAACATACTGATATGTGGGTCGCCTGAGGCCATACGCCCGGTCGGCTTACTGGTATGTGGGTCGCCTGAGGCCATGCGCCCGGTCGGCCTAGAGCGGCCGGTTCAACCCGTCTGCCCAGGTAAGGCGATGCTGGCGTGGGGGTTGCCTGGAGGCTATTAGCCCGGTCGTCCAACGCGCTTTTCCACCTCGAGCAGGTCGGCATTGCCACCTCCGACGAGAAGGGAAAGTGAGCCACGCGCCCTGTTAGACCGAGTAGGTTGGCGTTGCCGCCTCCGGTGTTTCTAAAGACCAGTTAGGTTGGCCTCGCTACCACTGGCACTCTGTGACCGGTTAGGTCGGCATTGCCACCACCGGGGCTATGAGTCCGGTTATACCGGTTGATACCGCCTCTTAGCGATGCCGCGTTTTAGCGATGTTGTTTCCGCTTCTAGGCGATGCCGCGCAATTTATCCCGCTTCTTAGCGATGTCGCTTTTAGCGATATGTTTACCTTCTTTGTGCGGTGTTTTACCGCTTTTTTAGCGATGTCTTTCCCCGATCGTCAACCCGTCGTATCCACTCCCTTGTGCTGACGATTCTTGCACCTGCGGGAGTGGGGGCTGCGCTGGCCCGAGTAGCGCGTTCGTCGGTCAGAACGGTCGAAGCACGTTCTTTTCGCCCGATCGCTTTTTAGTTGCGCCCGAGCAGCGTTTGCGCCCGAGTAAGTTCAATCTCTCGGTCGTAAGTAAGTCCGACCCCATAGTTGGTTAGATGGATCTCTAGATCCCAGTCGTGCCCGGCAATCCGGTCAATGACCCGGTTGGGCTCGACCTGTCGCAAGTTGCGTTGCAAGTCCGACCACTGGGTCGGGCGCTCCCTTTCGGTCCACTAGACTGTGTTTAGCGTTGTACTCTTTTTCCCTTGGCTAAAGTTTTTCCCACTGGGTTTTTTGATTAGCCTAAGGTTTTTTAACGAGGCAACCGGCATATGTCACGGACCGTGTAACCCGTTTTTCCAGCCCGAACCCTTCCTCGCTAACTCGTCGTCAGAGCACGGGCTGTGGGGGCTTTATGGTAAGTTATATACCCCGGGTCCGTGTATAGTCGGGTCGGGTCGAGCGGTTCGGGTCTTGACCTACGGGATGGGGTCAAAGGTGACGGGTCAAACCCGAGATGGGTCAAACCCGCCACCTCGGTGGCCCTATAAAAGGGCTTCTAGCCCTCTAAGGAAAGGGAGAGGCCAATTCTAGGCTATCTCTCGGCCCTCTCTCTCTAAGCTCTTTCTCTCTTCCCTCTCTCTATATTTTACGCAGAACAGCAGATGAATAAAAAGGGAATTTGAGCTATTTTCTTGTGTTCTTCCTCTTGTTCATACATATATTTTATGTATTTAGTACATACAACCGACATCCGGGAGAATTAGTACTATCATATATATATATATACATATATACATATATATATATATATATATATATATATATATATATATATATATATATATATATTAATTATTTTTAGTTGAAATTTGAAATCTGGAAGGTTTTTTTTTTTTTTTTGAATATTATTGACTCTAGTACAATGTAGTATTTATTTTATACTTTCTCTAATTATTGCTGCCCAAAGAGTCAATATTCCACCATAAGGTTTCGATTTTGTGACCTTCCCTCAAGGGGAGCCATAGAGGTGCTATCTGAGCACATGGTGCTTGGCAAAATCTGGAGGTTTAGATTGATTGAATGATGTATAAATTTATATTTATTAGTATAAATGCGCTAGTTTATTAAAATTGAAAGTTTAGAATGTTAATTTAAAAATGTCAAAAGTTTTAGTTGAGCACACTTGAAAAGTCCAACAACCCAAAGTTTTAGGGTTAGGGTAAAAAAATTTAAATTGACAAAAAAAAAAAAAAATCGATTAGCCTGAACTGATAAGCTCGACAACCCGATAAGACTAGTCCAAAATCAAACATGCTGGCCCGATTGACAACCTTACCAGACAACCTGATGTTTTAGTGTTAAATCAATAATTTTGTACCCGACCAAAATATCGATAAGCTCGAATCGATAAGTCTGGTAGTTCAATAGGACTTACCCTAAATCGAATGGGTTGACCCAATTGACATCCGTAGTTAAGTAGAGATTTGGTGGAATCAATTAAAAATAAATTTAAAAAAAATAAAATAAAAAAAATAAAATAAATAAATAAATAAATAAATAAATAAAAGGAAATCCATTCGGAGATAGCAATTTACTCTGAAATTTTTGAATTTCACAAAAACTAGATAAATTTCATAACAGAATAGTGAATATGAAATTATAATCAAAATTAAGAATAAAATATGAATAAATTACTAGTTAAATATTAAATTGGAAAATAGTGCCAAATACCTCCCAAATGGGAGGTCATGAGTTTGAGTCTTAGTGGAAGTAATATTAACTCATTGAATTTCAGTAGGTTGAGAAAGTATATTTGAACAGATACTACATGTAACAGGGCAAATTATGTTGTGGAATCCACCATGCATGGTGGACACGTTCCCAAAACGACGTCATTTTCGAAAAAACACAAGCTGTTCTAATTTTAAAAAGAAAATATTTTAAAGAGCCATTCACGGCGTTATGCGGTCGTTACAGGAGGATATGTTAATAATTTTATAAGTATACAGTTTAGAAATTATGAATCTACAGTACAGATATTATGAATCTGCAGTATAGAAATTATGAATCTACTGTATAGAAATTATGAATCTACTGTATTTAAATTATGAATCTACAGTTTAGAAATTATGAATCTACTGTATTTAAATTATGAATCTACAGTATAGAAATTATGAATGTACAGTATTAGGTTTGTGAACATGTGATGGAGCTATTTGTTCATAATTTTATAAATATATGTTCATAATTATAGAGCTATATGTTCATAATTTTCGATGTTCATATTCTCAATTGTTGAACTCTGTATTCACAAATCACAGAACTATATGTTCATAATTTGATAACTATACAGTTTATAAATTATGAATCTACAGTACAGATATTATGAATCTGCAATATAGAAATTATGAATCTACTGTATCGAAATTATGAATCTACTGTATTTAAATTATGAATCTACGGTATAGAAATTATGAATCAACAGTTTAGAAATTATGAATATACAGTATAGATTTTATGAATCTACAATATAGAAATTATGAGTCTACAGCATTGAAATTATGGAGGATAACGGTGCCACTAACGGCACCGTTATTCAACCACATGAAAACGGCGTCGTTTGGAATCGTGTCCACCTTGCAAGATAGGAACGGTTCCACAGCATAACGCTCCGGGTGGATAAATTATTGTGTGGACCATGGTCCATACAGTGCTATGTAAACTATAACAAAAAATATATTTTTAATATATTAAAAGTACATTATTCGTATATTGAATATACATTATACAAAATATTATATTTTTAGTACTTAAATAATATATTTTCTTTAAATATAATATATATATATATATATATATATATATATATATATATATATATATACTAAATATACATTATTTAATAATATAAACCACACAGCGGTTAAATGATTGAGGAGGTGGTGAACAAGCTTTGTGAACCCAAGAAAATGGCCTAAAAGTCACAATTGAGCATCGGAGACCGGAATTGTAATTCCACCACTTTTGCCTCTGGTAAGAGTAGATGGAGGAATATTTTGTATATATAAAAATCAGTAAAACATCAAGTGTAGACTAGAGAATATATTCAGCTTTCCAAAGCGACAAAAATACCCTCGGGCTTAGGGTTCAACAATTCAGTACATTAAAACATTAAAAACATCGCTAATTGTGCATTACTGCACTCCTTATTAGCTTCATAGCTCTAAACATAGTCTCCCTGTGATTGGCCTAATATATGCAACTTTCATTAAATCCTTTATATCAAGTTCTATATATATATATATATATATATATATATATATATATATATATATATTTTCCTGTATAAGAGTATTTGAAAATTAACAGATAACTGAAAATTGATTGCATATGATAAATATAATTTTTATTCTTAATTAATATAGAGTTGTAATAACACCCCCGACCTAGCTAATTAGTCACCAGTATGATGTACTTAATGTCGGAAAAATAGCATAAAATGGTATAGAAAGTGGCTATTTTGTGGTACAAATATATGTAGGTCTACTTCAGATTTAGGTCAGATCAAATGGATTTGAATGTTTCCTAATGAGATGAAGAGATTAATATATTGTACACTCAAAACAGACAAAGGGTGAATGAAAAATTGATTCTCAAAATAAACGAACCCATTTGAATTGGAAAATGAAGGTGGAAAGGTTTAAACTTTAATTCCAGTTCACTGGAATTTAATTCCAGTGACTGTAATTAAATTCCAGAATTGGAATGAATACAAGTATAGAACATATAGATGTTCTAACTTCTATAAACAGCCTCAAGAAATAAATACAACAATACCAAAATCAAAGTTACTGTCCAAGGAAGATAAACTGAAATTCTAGAACACTAAGCCTAAATAAATAAATAAAAGCCCTAATTCAGTAAGTCAAGACTTAGGACTACTAAAATTGAAACAAGAAATTGAGAAAATGTGTAAAGTATAAAACTATAAAATATAAAGTAGAAAAGAGTAAGGCAAACATTACCTATTTGGTCGCCGGTGGCCTTCAGTGGTGGTCAGGCACTCAGGCGACTGGAATGGCGGAGGCGTGGCGGAGGACAAAGCCGGACTGCGTGAACTGGTGAGTGGTGAGTGTCGGTTTGTCGAATATTTAGGGAAGAGTTGGGCGCTCTACCCGACCATTTTGCTCGTGCGTGTAGGTGCAAGATTGCCTATGCACTATCCCAAGTGAAGTGAAAACTGTATGCAACCGACGGTATTCCCCCCCCCCCCCCCCCCCCCCCCCCCCCCAAATCAGACTGTATGGACTTGATAGAACATGAAAATGTACGTTCTACCATAGCCCGAAAACTATCGAACACTTTATAGATGTCAGTTTTTAACCGGAGGGGATAATACCAACAAAAACGGGTATTATCATCTACAAAGAGTACAATATCTAAAACCTTCCGTAGAAACAACGGGGGCGGGTCCCCAAATATTAGTATACACGAGATCTAACGCGTTATTGCTAGAATATGCTACCCTATCTAAAGGAAACCGAGATGATTTCCCAAGCTGACAGGAAGAACACAAACTGAGAACGCCTGATTTATTTGACTCGACCGGGCAACCTTGTAAGACACGCTGTAGAGCCCAACCGTGTGGGTGACCCAACTGTTGATGCCAAACGACGGGGGACGCACGGGCGGTGACAAACGCAAAGTGTGACCTCGGTACAGATAGTGTATAGAGACCCCCTGAACTAGGCCCTTTAAGGAGCACATCCTTGGTTTTGCAATCCTTCACAACAAAGAATGACGGGTGAAACTCAAAATAACAGTTATTATCTTTAGCAAAACGGTTTACAGTTAATAATGATACTGACAATTCAGGGACATGCAAAACATTAGATAAACGCGGGGATTTTGAAACAGACGGAAGTAACGCATGACCTATACCAGAAATTCCCAAACCTGTGCCATTACCCACGCGGAGAACATCACCATCGCTGTAATCCTCGATTTGCGTCATCGCCCCGGCATCCGGTGTGGCGTGCAACGAGGCCTCGGTTTCCGGGAACCACGAGCTGACGTCCAGCGTGGAGCTCCCATCACTAGTGACCGCAACGTTAACCTGTGTCGACGGTGCGTCCGAATACCGACGGTAGTAGTAAACGGCAGTATGCCCTTGCGATCGCCTAATCTGGCACCTCGGCGCTCCTCCTCGGCCACGGCCATGGCCACCGCGTCCACGATGGTTGCCACGACTCTGACCACCGCACTGCTGTCTCCCAGCCCCGGATCCACCATCACCATGCTGTCGCCGGCCACGTCCCACATACATTGCCGACGAAAAGCCACTCGGCACTGTAGATGCCCCTGACGGGAACTCGTCGGAGTGAATGAACGCTTGAGCCTGCAGGTAGTCGGCTAGCTGAGGGATGGAAACTGGATTACCTGAGACGGCAAGAGTGGCCGCCATGGCACGGAACTCCGACCGTAGTCCCCGAAAAACGTAGAGATTTAATTCATCCAACGTCATGGGGCGGCCGGTAAGAGCAAAATCCTCCACCAACAGCTGGGCACGTCCTAGGTACTCCGATGGCATGCTGTCCCCTTGCCGGAGGGCTTGAAACTGCCCGAGGAGATTGAGACACCGGACTCTCGTGGAGGAGCCGAGTGCCTTCTCAATCGACGTCCAAACCTCGCGTGCAGTTGTCTTGCCCACAGCCAAATACATCACTTTCTCAGACAAGGAAGAGATGAGCAGAGACAGTATGGAGGCGTCTTGCTGAACCCAAGTGTAACACCCCCGATTTTATCATATTTTTAAAACTTAATTGCAAGAGATACGCAAACTAATCATCTATTAAACATAAAGCAGAAGCAAGTCTAATCGGGAGTATTATGCCACATCTTACAATACTGAAGATGCACAGGCGGGAAAACTAAACAATAAAAGCAAGTCAATAAGAGTCAAGCCACACAGGCCACTCAAAAGGCTCACAGGCCATAAAAAACAAACGTCTAGACAAGGTGACTAGCTATCTAACGCTCCAAGTCTAGCGCTCTCGGGCATCTACTCATAACCTGTATAACAAGGGAAACATAACATGGGGATAACACGCGATCAGCGAATATTGCTAGTAACCCATCAACACGCGTTAAGTATAATAATATACATAGATATAAACAAAAGCGTTTGAAACTGGGAATACAGTATATATCATTTTAAAGCCGAGAGAGGAAACATCAATAGACTCATCAATCACTCACAACAAAGGTCAAAGACCAACACACTCAATAACTGAAACCTGATACAATAATACTAGCTATAGAAGTTCCTGTACAATAGGCTAAAGAATAGCTCAACTAATCTAAGTCATATAACTATATTAAAAATTTAATTACACTAATAAATTCCACCAGAGGTCCTTTGTTTTTTGTGGCAATTCCAATTTTAGTCCCAGACTATCATTTTTGCCATTTAACTTCCCAGACTATTATTTTTTGGACACTTTTAGTCCTTCTCGTGACTTTTCCTATTTTTAGTAAGGGCATTTTTGTCTTTACATATTTTTCTTTTTGTTATTTTTCCAGTTTCAACTGGTTTAATTGATTTAGGACTTTAGGTAACCTCTGATTTTTAGTAACCATATTTGTCAATCGGTTTTTAGTAAAGTCCTAAACCAATAAACCTATTGAAATCGGAAAAAATAACGAAAGAAAAATATGAAGAGACAAAAATGCCCTTACGAAAAATAGGAAAAGTCATGAGAAGAACTAAAAGTGTCCAAAAAATAATAGTCTAGGATGTTAAATGGAAAAAAAAAATAGTCTAAGACTAAATTTGAAATTGCCACCAAAGACAAGGGACTTCTGATGGAATTAACTCTTTAGGGAATTAGGGTTAGGTTGAACTCTGAAGACTATGAAATCTTATTACAATATTATTATTACTATTAAATTATATATATATATATATATATATATATATATATATATATATATATATATATATATATATATACACATTAAACGATCGATTTTCGGTTCAGTTCCGAAAGGTTTCCCTAAACTAAATATCGATCGGTAATTCGGTTTAAGACCGAACCGGTTCGATTCGGTTAAACCAAATCGAAACACCCAACCCTAGTTTAAAGTAACATTTGTCCCACATTAGTAAAATAAGGGAATTTGCAAATCAAGTCCCATAATGGTTTGGAAAGGCTCGACTCGTGTATGCCGGCACCTGCGGACACGAATGTCATCCGAAAAAAGTGACTGACCAAAATACTTTTTTTTTTAGTACTATTGACTCTTGTTCTATAGTTTCTCTGTTGCAACCTAAGGAATCAATATTCCAACATCGGGATTCAATTCTGTGACCTTCCATCAAAAAGAGTCATAGAGGTACGAACTGAGCACAAGATGCTCGGCAGATTAATGTGAAACTTATAAATCCTTAGCATTTCATTAATCTTAGAGAATACAACATTGGTGAAACATGCATGCAAATCATGTATCATTGTTGTTATTATTATGAGGACATAAATGCATATTATTTGGTTAGAACATCATCATTCAAGTGTTTCCTTTGGATACCTTTTCTCACAATTTAATATTCCGATGTGCAATTAATTTGCACCACGCAATCTTGTATTGACATGGTCTACGTATATTTGTAGTCTTTATTGTTCATTAATCATTGTGGTTTGAAAAATAAATAATGTTTGGTGTGGATTCATGACTTGATGCTAAGGACAACTTGTATCAATAAAATAATTTAATTTCAATTAGTAGGTTTTGAAGGTTGAGTAGTTGTAACGGTTTGGAATTTAAAACGCTCAAGGGATTAAATAAATAAAAAAATTGAGGATTTTTTTTCTATCTCTCTTTAATTACAATTTATAATAATAGTTTGATCTTTAATCATTGAACTTCAATCTACCACTTTAAACATAATCCTCACACAGTCACTATCGAGTTTCAAATATTAGTCTCTTCTTTCAAATACAGTCTACTAAACCACTGAGCTAAGCATGTGCGGGCAACATATGATTATTCTTATATATGTAGGTGATCTCAGCTTCGCCTGATTAATCCTAAACCCACAAAGCTTCGCCCCTAAAATCACTGTAGAGGTAAATCGAGAGTCGCACAATTAGCATACCAGTCAAATCTTAGTCTTTATGCGCGCACAATAGATCGAATCCACACCTTTCATCATCGCGGATCTTTTTCTCATTCACGTTTCCAACGAGATTCAAACAACTACACTGCCAGCTTTAATCATGACTACAAAGCAAATAATCTTATCTTAATCTTACGAATCATATGCTTTTTATCTATTTGTTTCAAAGGTTTTGGATATATAAATTGTTACAAATCTCTTTAATGGTTAGTATTTTCACTTTCAATCCCTTTAATCGTTGGTGTTTGATTGGATTAATGAATAAAAATGGAATAAGTTAAGTATTTAAAAGATAAAAATACCCTCTACACTAATATACACACACAGAATAATTTTAAAAAATTGTTATATTATAGAATACATTTAAACTACATAATAAAAATAAGTAAAGACAAATAATTAGGCATCACAAAAAAATTGACTATTATAAAAAATTCAAGAATAATCTAATACTAGACCCCTTAGACTAGCTATTCAATTTACAATGAGAATAGCTCTTATATTCTTGAAAATAAATTAATTTACTAAATGATAGAATATGCCAATTCATAAAAATAATAATTCATTCAAAACTTATTTCGTAATTAAACGTGTAATAAAAATAAATATATTAATAATAATTGAGAAATTAGATTTATTATAACAGAAGCATGACTAATTGATATTCATTTCTCTTCTCTCGAAATGTTGAATCTCCAACCTCAAGAACCTTCACATCCCGACTCGACAGAGCATTTGGGAAGATGTAAATCACGATGACTTGATCAATGACTCAGTATACATGATTAAATGTCGATGTGCACAGGAGATCTATCTATTTTGAACATAATTTACACATTATTGTTGCCAAGATTCGAACATTAGTCTCTTCTTCTAAGCTCGTGCGGGCCTAATTGATATTCCCTTAATTGGAGGCATGCGGGTATGAAATGTGTGACCCGGGAAGGGACTTTGAAGGACACTATAATGGCTACTATTACATTTTTTTTTATATTAATAGATTGATTAATTTAAGATTAATTGATTTGCAGGGTTAATTTTAAAATATGTGTTTTATGTATGCTAAAATTCCATATTAAATATACTCTATGAACTTTATTATATGGATCAAAAGTTCTACTAAAATTTTTATCAAAATTTGATTTGATATATTGCAATTAATTCATGAATAAGTTTCAAATAAACTAACACTAAGATGATATATTACCATTTGGTGAAACTCTCAATCCATCGAATAATGATGTAGCACAAGCTAGGAAAATACAGAGTGCTAAACTTCTATGGTGTATTATGTTCGATAGAATTGCACGTATCAAATTAGAGCAATGCCAATGGATGGGGATTTTGGAATTTTTTGTGAACCCAATAAAAAAATGAAACAAACAATTGACATAATATTAAAGTGGTCGCTAGCTGGTGTCCACTCCAATTGCTTAGCAGGTGCATACAGTGAACGCTTGTTGTGCATCTTCTATGCACGTAACGTTCAACCCTTTTTTTAAAAAAATATATGGTATTTAGTAGAAGAGCTCTAATCCCTATATTCTTTTGCCACTTCAATTTTTCTTTCTCCTACATGTGGTAAGAGCATCCCAATAGGCATAGATTTTGAAGAGTTTTTGCCGGTGTGGCTAGGGTAGAGAAGATGGGAGGGAATGAAAAAAAGAAAAAAAAAAAAAAAAAAAAAAAAACAAATTTGGAAAAAAAAAAAAAAAGCTTCAGATTAACGCACCTGACTGGGCGCTGTGGTTGCGCTTCACGCAACTAGGGCAGGACTTTCTTTTTCCTTGGTGGGTCCCACAAGTCTGATAAAAACTAAGACTTTGCAAGAAGACTCTTCATAAAAATCTAAATTGAAGTTGGCCCTTACCAATCAATCAATGTTTCAATATTATGTCTGACTTTGAGTTCTTAGTTTGTCATTTTGTTAAAAGGTCAGTGAACTTGATAGCCCACACTTTAGCTAGGGTTGCTGGCTCTCAGTCTGGCTCTCAAGTCTGGGACTCTGTCTCCCCTGATTGTATTCGTTCTCTTTTCCCCTTTTCATATTAATATAGCTCAGTTTTTTATTTTTTTAAAAAAAAATTGAAGTTGCCCTAAGGTACTAAGAGGGAGAGTATAATTGTAAGAAAATTAGGAACAATGGAATTATATATCTCAAATTGCCAAAGGTACAAGAAAAGGAAAATACAATTTTATTAAATATAAGACAAGATCTCCTATATACACAATAAAATTTTCTATAAAAATGAAAGGGTTTTTAATATAAACTTTAAAAAAAAAAAAAAAAAAGAATATGACATATATTACAGCTTAAAATATTTAAAATAGTGCATTTGTTTATATCCCGGAATCCAATAAAGAATTTGGTGAAGGAACAAAACATAATCTCATCTCCACTGAGGATAAAGAGGCAGGCAGGCGCATTTTAGCCACGCTGTTCTGTCTTCATTTTCACTGCTACTTCAACTACACATCGGGCTTCAAAATATTCCGTTGAGTTCTCATTTCATCAATAATGTTATTTACTACGGAGTAATTTTTAT